CCCAAGATTGAAATTGCAGGTCATCTGATTTAGGTCTACAAAGGCGCTTATGCTTTGCGAAGATCCCCCATAACGGGGCCCTTGATCAGAGAATCAACATGAACGTTTGGTCTGTCATTCAAATCAATGTCCTCAGTGAAGGCTGCAGTGATGATGATGAGGAAACAGGAGAGGGACTGCGGTGACCATTCCGATTGTAAAAGATCCGTCCCTCCACTCTTAAATCAGAAGGTAGTGCATCACCATCATCACTGGTACGATTCAAATCTAATTTGAGCCTCTCTGATCTCTTAGGGCTCATTTCCAGAGAGGATTCTGCCGATTGAAGGCCAGACGAGACAGAAATTTGCTTTCCTGACATCAGATCTACAAGTTTATCATCTCCACCCTCGGCCACATTCAGATCTATGTCGAGGCAACCCAGCCTTGCTTTTAAACTATTACCAGCGTCCCCTGTAGAAAGAACCTTATCCCCACAGGATGGTCTACGTGGAGATGCCGGCCGAAAAGCACTGGTAGCAGCAGATCCTTTCCATCCAAGAGCTCCCTCAAACTGCAATGGGGCAAAAGGCAACCCTGGAGCTCCTACCGGCCTTGAAGCAGAAGCAACAGGAATTGGGGTCGAGATGGAATTCACTGTATGATCCATTTCATCAGAACAAACTTCTTGATTCAGATCAAAGTCACACATGCTTTTCTCTGTGTTAATTTCTGGTTCTTGGATTGCTTCTGTGACTTGAGAGGACTCAATATCATTTATACCATTTTCGGGCCCTTGGTCGAGATTTCCTGAATTTATTACATGAACCTGGCCCCCCGGATACTTCTCAGCACCATGATTTTGTCCAAATGGCATTTCCTTTTGTGGCATCTCATTGGCTAGATCCTGTTTTCCATTTATAGACTCTGGGCTACCTGGCTGCCTAATTCCATCAGAAATTTTCTCTGATGAGCTGCAAGATGGTTCTCTATAATCTATGACTTCTCTCTCCACTTCTTGAGCAACTTTTCGGGCTACTTCCAAAGCATCTACAATTCCATAGTCAAGTTCAATATCAGTAGTTTGGTTGTCAATCACATCAGTAGTATGATTATCAATTGCTGTTCTAGAAAAAGAGGAACAACTTCTCATATTCTTGCCACCATCACTACTAGTATGCTCTTTATCTTCATCAGTTGCTTCAGAGTCTTCCATCCTGGAATAAGTGTCCAATTCTTCAGATTTCCCAAATGCATAGTCCTTTGTAGAGGAATCCGGCAAAATATCAGAAAGGCATTCACCACCTAGATTTGTCACTGACAATTGTTTGCCGCGAGTGTTTGTAACTCCTTTATCATCTAACCCACTGTTTGGCTTGCAACTAAGTGGCTTCACCTCACTGGCACCATCTTGCTTGTGTACAAGAAGTCCTGCCTCTGCCTCCTGAGGTCTTGCAACATCAGCATCAGATGACCCAACTCCAGGTTCCACTATACTAGAGGCAGAAGCTGCAATGCCCAATTTGTCAGAGAAACCACTAAGCTTAGTTGCCTGCTCATAATCTTTAGAAAATTTATCCAACTCTAAGCATCTGACTGCCCCTCAACACTGCCTTGCTCTGTAAGTGAACAACTACTAACCTCCACAGGAATAATTTCTGCCATGGTACCTACTGGGATTTTTTCCTTTACAGAAGGGCTTTCACGAACAGCATTTGCCACAAGAGATGAACGCAAATTATCAGAAGCCATATCCTTGGACACAGGACTGTCTAAATCCATGCCCGACTGGAGCTCATTTTTCTCAGTTTGAGCCTGTATTTCTTCACCCCTTTTAGTTCTAAGATCTTCCAAGTGTTCTAGTCCTAAATTTTCAGCTTTTGGAACTTCTACTGCAAGACTTTCTTCTCCAGTGCTTTGTTTCAGAAGAGGAACATCAGAAACAGAACACTCCAGCCTGCTACTTTCCTCAGCAAGCATCGCATGGACTTTAATCACACGATCACAATAAGCACCAGCACCCTCACTATTGTGCTGAAGAACAGAATCACTAACTCTATCCTGCTTCCAGCTATCAAACAATGCCCTTGCTATATCCTGAACCTGAGAGCTGCTGGAACCAACAAGACTCTGGACAGTAATCCAGACCCCTGAAGAAATGGACCTTTCATCGTCTATATGGAGGTTTTCAAGTGCCCGTAATACTGCGACAATTGACTCCTCTACTATGCTGTCAGCTGAATTGCTAATAAACCTCTGGGCATCCTTAAGCCATCTATCAAGATACGAGAGTCCATCTAACTGAATAAAAAGATCAAGGCAATTTTTGTTCTTTGTGGCAGCAATTGTGCTTGCAACAGCAGCCCATTGTCTGGTTGATTCAACAACATTCTTCACAATACATTCTCTATCCTTCTGCATAATAGCCACCAGTTCCTCAACACGAGAAGGGAGAGTAAGGCCATCTTTTATCTCAGTCAGGGTAAAGAAATCTTCAAGTGTCATAGTGCTTCACACGCCAGACCTCCAAGCATTTAAGAAGTCTTTGTGATATGCTGATAGTTTTTCTTCCATCCGTGAACCTTCAGAATAGTCTTTGTGATATGCTGATAGCTTAGCATTTTGCTAAGCTGCCCTGCAGAACATGACAAAATGCAGCTAAGCATACAGCTTTAGACTGAATTGTAGAGTAATAATTTAAAAGAAAAATGTCGACTGAGAAGTTCAACCAAGTTATTTTCTATTTATCCACAAAACTAACTCCATATCTCGTATTGCAAACTAAGCTAGTCCTCATATATTCTCCTCACTATGTAAACTCTTCTATTTAAATTCACAGTTTAATACAAGACAAAGTGAATGCTGAAATTTGATAAGTATTCATGCAAGTTGAGAGGATTGCATCTGTCCATGTATCTAGCCTATACATTCCTCTGCAAAATTCAAGCTCTAAAGTCAAAGGAACTTTTTTGCGGTCAAATTATCATGCACAAATAATCTAAAAAAAGTAACAAAATTACGTTACAACAAAATAGCGGCATCATAATCAGAATAACTCACTGGCACAAGTTTCAAGGTTATGGATGAATAATTTAATGTGAATTCAAATTGCAAAACAAATCGCAAAACAATGTAACTAAATAAATGGCAAGAGATGTAGCAGGTAAAACTATCATCAATTGACTCAAAAATCTTGCCAAAAGCAACAAAGTTAAACTTTATGAAACATTTATATGCTCTCAGCTGAGATTAAAATTATTACACTGACCTTATGAACCTTAGATGGAAAGAAACTAGAGATAGACCAAGTCAACGGAGAACAAACAATAACTTCACTGCTAATTTTAACATTAAAGCTCTTATAGCTGTCATTCACCAGGACAACATTTTATGCTGGTCCAGGGAGCAAAATCAAGTGCTTGGCTAAAAGTTTTCAAGACTTGGTTTACTTTCCATTTTAAGTTTCCCCATTATACAAGTTTCCCGGTCAATGGTACAAGACCAACCTCATGTCTTGTATATGAGGCTGTTTATGCAGAGCAGATTGATACCCTACACGAGAGGATTTGGTCCTTAGAATAAATTATCAGTTTAGAATAAATTATCAGTTGTTCACATTTTCTAGATGTAGATATAAATCTATTGGTCAACTGTCCTGCAATTAACCAACTACATACTTAGGGATGAAAACATGACTCTCTTCTTGGGTGCAAATTACTATTGCCAAAATGACACAAGGAAGACACATGCACTGATCTGCACACCCTCAATCACAGAAACAGACACCTTTTGTTCTAAAAAAATTGAAAACAATATAATAGAGCATCTCCCATAACAGATACCTCTCCCCTCATGCAAGCGAGCGAGAGAGATAGAGAGATAAAAGTATGGATTTAGGTGATAAAAGGAAAGACCTTCAGAAATGGACAATCAATTTTCAGTTCCAATTTATGTTTATGAACCTATTCAAAAATAGACTGCAGGAGACTTCTCATCTGTCAAGCAGAAAGCATGTATTTGGCACTTTGCATCCAACTCAATTAGAACATTTTAATAGCACATCTCATGAGAAATTAATAATCAAGGGTGCATGTTATTTTGAGTGGATAATCTATTAATACCTCTCAACTTCATGATCATAGCTCTATTACTGCATGTCATAAACCATACAAACATAGCAGCACAAGACTGTAGGTTAAATAAGTTGGGTGCAAGACCCAAACAAAACACAAAGCCCAATATGACCCTAGATCACGAGCAAGAAACCAAGGCAGTTTAATTATTAAGATTATGGAGAAAGACATGGTACTTGACCTGAATTGCCTTAAAAATTAAATGATTATCAATAAGATCCTAATTAAGGAGGAAACTCTAGATCCTTAAGAGCAATTCTATAATTAAATAATGTCAACCAAATTGAGTTAGAACCCTTCTGATAATTACTTCTCCGGAGGCCATGAGACATGTTATAAGTTAATAAATGCACCACAAGATGAGAAGCTTTTGCAAACTAGATCTAATATTAACAATTTACTTCTTTGAAGTCCCCCTCCCCCCAATCACCAAATCAATTACATTCTTCTTCAAACAATAGGAACACCTATCATATATTCTTCCAAACTACATTCAATGAGGATAGATAGATCCGTAGAGAGATAACCAGATGAATAGACACATACATATACATATAGAGAGAGACAGAGAGAGCCAGGGAGAAAAAGAATCTGGAGAAGGAAACTAGAAAACAGATCAATTGATAGTAAGCACTTTCACAAAAAGTGAGTGCTTTCCACAGGAATAAATGGAGACTTAGAGTGTCACCAAGATGCTAATTTTTCAACAAATAGAGTACTTTTCCACCTTTGAATTGTAAAAGTTCGTCAAACGTGGTAAATTTTACATCATTTAACATCTAGCAAAGAACTTACCCTAGCCTGTTCATGAAAATAATTGACACTAAGTCTAAGAAAAAGTGCAGGCAAGAAAAGAGAAGTTCTAGAAAGAGGTAAAGATTATTGAAAAATGCAATAGAAAACTAATGATTGCATCACTGACATGATTCTAATCAAAATAAAATGATAAAATGGCTGTCTGTAAGATGATTAATCACATTTTTCCCTACCACATCACTCTTTTACCAAAACCTACCACAATCACTCCAATGAAAATATTGTAATAGATAGGAGGGAAGGGAATGATTATGATCTCTTTCCGGCAAAGCAGATATGGAAGACGAAGGCTCCCCCAAGAGCAGCTTTTTTTGCTTGGGAGATGAGTAAGAATTGTACTATCGATAATTTGATGCGGAGAGGTAAAATTATCATTAATTAGTGTTGCTTGTGTAAAAGGGATGCAGAATCCAGTATCACATTCTACTGTGGTGCCCGGTGGTTTATAACATATCGATTATGGTGTATAGTCTCCTAGGGATTAATTGGGTAATTTGCGGGTTCGGTAAGGGATGAGTTATGGACTTGGACGGGTTTATGTAAAAAGAAAACCTATTTGCTTTTAATTCCCCTATCCATCTTTTGGGTTGTTTGGAAGTAAATGAATGTTAGAGCTTTTGAGGGCATTGAAAGGAAGATGGCTAGTTTAAGGGATAGATGGTTTCATATTTTTAATTCTATAGCCTTGGGTCATGACATGAACAAATTGGAAGATTTTGGGCATGTCATTGATCACTTAATTGAATTGTAAATACTTTTGAGATAATACTTTTCCATACTTTTATTTAAAAAAAAAAAAAAATGTTGTAATAGGTATCCGGTTTACTAGACAAATAAAATGTTCTCATAACTCGGTGTGAAATCAACCTAAGTCCATAACTAGTGCTTCCTTACTATTATTATCAAGTTTCCGTCGCTAAGAAGGAGAAATAGAAAAAGCAGACAACAATAGAAACAAATCATCAAAAAGTAGTTGACAAACAGCTGGAAGAAGTTAATGGAAATCACATTTATGACTAAGAAGTGCTCTTTTTATTGATTATCGTTACATCGATTATCAGCCCATGGCACATTAAATTTATTAAAGAAAGAATCAAAGAACAAAAAAACAAACAAACTTGTCTACAGTATTAGAACCCATGTGAGAACTCAAATATGCATTTCAACATGAAAAGGGGAAAATGATTAGCATAGACGAATCTCAAAGAACATAGTAATGTAGAAATACCCTCCTTTTATTTTAAAAAAATGTATAAATACCCTCTTTATGAATAAAAAAACTCGTCATTTCTATTCAATTCATCCAATATCCTCTCCATAAAAAGATAACTAAAAAAATGTATAAATACCCTCTTTATGAATAAAAAAACTCGTCATTTCTATTCAATTCATCCAATATCCTCTCCATAAAAAGATAACATAAACATAGTATTGCCCTTGCGAAATAATTTAATTCATTATCAAGTTCAACAACTAAGGAGCTTGAATAATTTTCTTTTAATGCCTTGCACTTGGGATTACAGATATGGAGGATCAAGTAATTAGAAAAAGCATTTAAAGTAGACATCTTATGCAGAAAAACCTATCAATCACTTCATTACTTAATTGACATCTGAAAAAGTAACTGCACTATACATTTTTTTGTAATAGATAAATCCATAAAGATACCAAGAAAGTTAAAGAAACTACCTTTAACCTTATACTACAATATAATTTACAAGTTCAATAAATTTCTTCACCAAACATCATCTTGAAAATTAAGCTTGATTAACTGCTAAAAAAGACTTATAATATTAATACATTCAGTGATGTTTAAATAAGTCGATGATATCCTCATATTAACAGACAATCCAAGCAAGTTCTTGAAAGTGACTGCTATTCCAGAGTTGGTATAGAGATATCCGAAGCGAAAACTGATGAAATGTAAAATCAGTAAAGAAAATACTAAACCTAAAAGCATTAATGGCATAAATATATACTACATATATTCCCAGCTAATCCAATGTCATTTGTTGGTAGCTTTTAAACTTCTATAAGATTAAAAATCCCACTATTAGCCATCTAGAGAAAAGGAATTCAGTTTTGAGATGGCAAGGCAACATAATAACAGTGGCAGATGATTGAACTGAAAAAGAGAAATTTAATTGAATAGTAAGCAACTGGACTCAAAAAGGAGGTAAAATTTTATAAGAAGTTGAAACGGGAGTATTTAAACCATAAGAGAAGAGGATTTATAGATTCTCTAATATTTTCTAACGTACCTGATAAAGCCAAACTAACCAGATAAAGAGCAATAATAATATGCAAAGGCGATCGAACCCTAGATTTCAAAAAACTATAACCGAAACCAAAAAGAAAAAAAAAAAAAAAAACCCTAGGTTTATGGCTTTTGATATTGAGGCGTGATATAAATTTAAACAGGTTCAGAATTTAACCAAGATTATCACAATTAACGCAGGCAGACACGTGATTATGAGCGGCAATCCTAACGTAGAAAGAAATTGATGGGAAAAATTTAAAATGCAAAATATAACGATAATTACAACCGTAACACGTAGCTCACCTTCATCAACAGCTTCAAGTGAAAAGAAACCCTAACTGTGAGTCAGCCGGAATATAGAAGAAGGTGGTAGAGGTCTCTCCTTCCCCGCCGAGAAAATTCCCTCCGCTGTTTGTATTTACGTAGGTTTCTCTCCCGTGCGTCGATTGGACACTGTGTATTTCTCTGTCTTCACAAAACCCTCCCTTTTGTCTGCTGGTAGGCTTTTGTTCGAATCGAAGAAGAGAGAAAAATACCAACGCTTTCTTCTTCGCTTATTTTTTTTTCTCTTTCGTTTTCAATTTTTCGAAAATTTCATTTTATCGACATGTACTCCGGTCGGTTTTCGTCCATCTTCGGGTGGCCGCACGTGTAACGCGTGTGCTGACGGCTGAGCCGGTGATGTGGACTCGGCTTGTCCGGTTAGCCGGTAATGGCTAATTTAAAAAAAATATATAAATTTGCTCCAAAAACTGTCAATTCCCCGTGGTGGGCCATTTTATAATGAGCGAGGGTCGACAAGGTCTAAGCTGAAAAGGAGAGCAGCTCATCGTTGTCACTGTCATGTGGGGCCGGCTTCCTCCTTGTTTTTTTTTTTTTGGGTCACGTGCGTGCACACGTGCGAGACACAGGAATTTTTGGTGCTGGCCGCGCAGGTAAGGATTCTCTGCAGTCAAGTACATGATAGTTAGAGGGCGGAGGACAATGTCAGGATAATTAAGCCCACTGACAGTGAAGTCCATCTCTTTCGATTTTCTGGGCCCAAAAGATAATTAATTTTTTTTTTCCTTTTTTTTTTTAATTTTTGTGGGTCAAAATTAGAATACATTTAATATTAACTTCTCTTTTTTAGTAAGAAGTAATAATATTAGTATATTAATTTTATAACCATGATTATAATCATAATCCAATAAATAATTAGACATTAATTAGTACTATATGCCTTTAGATTTTCTTTAATGAGTAATAATGACAAAAGGGTTTTAGAATATTTCTTTTGGGTAATGTAATTTTAAATTTTAAATGTATTCTATATATAATAAATTTTTCAAAATTCAAAATTTTTTTTTAATTAATTAATCAACCAAAAAAAGAAATATATGAATATATATTATTCCATGTTGTAAAAAAAGTACAATGAATACAAGAATTAAAAAATCCGATATCTTACATTAATTTGGCCGCTTAAATTAGGTTCAAAATTGTTATATCATTACTTAATTTCTTAATCATAATTGCTTAATATGTAAAAAATTAATTATAATTTACACATTTTAAGATGAATGAATCAATATCTAACTTGAATTGGAAATGAAATCAATTAAGAATCAGAATATTTTATATTATATTCTCATTTTGATTTGACTAAATTCAATGTTATGTGTGAATAATTAATTAACATTAATGGAGTAATTAACTATTGGCTCCATAATTTAATGTTACGGTTGTGATCATATTAGATATGCATATACTTTTTGTGATTTTGTTACACTTGTATATATTAAACGATGATGACTAAAGTTTGAATTAAATTTTGATATTTAGATTTCATTAATTATAATCATACGAGATATAGTCTCGTAATCTATATATATAATGAACCAAAAAAAAAATGTCTACGAGAAGAAAAGATGGCAAGCAGCAATTCAAATATCTTATTTTAAATTCAATTAATTATAACCTTAATGTTTTAAGTTTAGTATAATAATAAAGTGATTAATTTAAATACTCTTTATTTATCAATTGTTAAAATATATTTATATAATGATCTCATCTCATGACTTTATTGATTAAGTTATAATTGTAGTGTTTTAATAATAACAAATTAATTAAGATATTTCCAATTGATCTTAATCACATATGTTATGTGTTATATATAGTACAACATTATATTTGGAATATACTTTATATCATATGCATATAAGCTCAATTTGCAAAATTCTTAAGGTATCAACTTCAACACCCTATTCAAAAATAGAAACTTTTAAAGTCTAATATTATTAATAAAATTCAATTAAAAATGTTATTAGTAAAAGAAAAAATACATTAGAGTTAGATTAAGAAATATAACATTGATCGTTACAAATTAAATTCTTTAAAAAATATTTATAATATTATTAATTAATACGCTAACGTTTTTACTGATAATAACGAATAATAATAATTAAAACGAAATAATAAATTCAATAAAAAAACTAAATAATATAAATATATAATTAAAGAAAGTAATTATTTTCTTCACATAAATATATGATTTACAAGACTTGTACCTCAATTTTCTTAAACTTTAAGGAGACATGATCTCAAATTTTGTAGATAAGTTTGACGTTCGCTAAGAACATAAATACATGATTTCTCCTCTATTACTTTTATTGACATTTAAAAGTAATTAATATTTTAATTTATTATTTACTATTATTATGATATATTTATATTATAATTTTATTATTTTGTTTATTAATTAAGAACTGTAATGATTTATTAATAAAGTATTAGTTTAAGATATTTGTTAACTAACTATTGCTCGCTGCCTGTTCATATTTTAAGTTTATTTCAAGTGTGACATCTGTTGATGCAAAATTAAAATTTTATATTGCATATATATAACTAATTTTGATTACTTAATTCATTATTAATTTACCAAGTTTACAAGATGTAATACACTTAATTTATTACAAAAAATTAATTTCTATAGGTGGTTTAGATCAAAAAGATGTTTTTTTATTTTTCTTTCTAATATTTATGGATGTGATATTAATTTTATATACAAATACTGTAATTGTGTTTTAAATATAGATATTTCATATTTACTTAAATCTCATACTACAAATTGTGTTTTAAATAAAGTTTGGTTTAAATCAGTAATTAAGACTTCACATAATTTTTTGGAAAAAAGAAAAATTGCTTATTTTAAATGTTTAGAATTTGGAAAATTAGGAGTTAAATTAGACATTATATCTCTCAAGTGAACTAGAGAGGATACCATTTCTATTATGTTGAGGAATGAAATATATTTTTTTGTCAAATATATTTATTTTTTTATAATATGTAAGATAAGAAATACTCAAATAAAAATACATATAACATACATATATATATATATATATATTTCAGACCTCAAAATGAGCAACAAAATCAAAACACATATAGATTATGATTGTTCTCAAAATACTTTTAATACTCTACATATCCCATGATTAGAACCAGAAAAAAGCATCTCAAAACAAGGCACGCTTATTTCTGATATTTCAAAATTCTGGGAGCTTGGGAAAAACAAAATCCTTTTGAAAAGGTAGAAAGGATGAGTAACAATGATGACAAAAGATGTGTAAAGTGTAAAGCAGGTGTGACAAAAGGAAAAAAAGGATAAGAAGTAAAAGTCGGTGGTAATCAGATGGGATATGGATATGGACATGGTTTGTGCCATTCGTTATCTCAGAACAGTAGCCATTATGGGATTGCTTAGAATCTATAAGAAACCCTTGTAACCAAAAGTTGTCTCAAAGAGAAAACAGCTTGATAGCAACTTGACCAAACACAAAAAGGAAAAAAAAAAAAAGAAAAAAATATCAAGTGCCCACTGGACCACCCAGGTTCACCATCAACCCAGCAGACAAGACATTATTTTCATTCAAGTATGGAGGACATATTGTATTTAGCAACAATTGAATACAAAAACGACGTACCTTCACATCACCATAAATGTGTCATTTGAAAATTTGTGTACCCTTTAGCTCTTGGTTTGCAGTTGGCGCTGCTATCACCGTAGTTGATCAGCTTGGCTGACACCATCCGCAGCAAGCCTATCTCAACCGCTTGGGGGATTACACTGCACCAACCTGCTACCCACCGCCCGGTGGGTCCTCTGGAGCCTGTTGTTTTGACTGTGTCGCATTGAGACACTAGTGTTCCATATTACCAACTTTGTAGTATTTAGGTTTTATATGAGATAATAAGAACCGGTACCAAAATAATATACAGTAATCGGCATTTCAATTTCAATATCATCAGCATTTTCTTTCGTTTAGAGAAGAAGAGTGTAGACTTGGAAGAAAACTGTGTGGTTCCAACTAATGAAAGTCTCAGCTAGTTTTGAGTCTTAACTACTTCTGAACTAGAGGCTAAGTAGCATCTATGGCTAACATCAATGAACGTTCCTTAGTAGGCACCCTCCAGCGACAACTCTACGGAAATTTGGTAGAATATAGAAAATGATATACGAAGAAGAACAAATCCAATGAAAAGGCAGAATAAATTGGGTTACTCGCCTCTTCGAGGACAAAAAGATATAGTTACATAGAGGAGAAAAGAAAGAGATTGAGAGATAGAGAGAGAGAGAGAGAGAGATCAGAAAGAGTAAGAGAGCACGGAGAAATTTCATTCATTCGACATGCTTTTTACAGTGAGTATTCGTGTACCTTCTATATCAAGTGGTTTGCAACTAACCAACTACCTCATCTACATCATTCTCACGCATAGATCACCTCTGAAGCCAAAGATGTCCCAAAAAATAAAATAGCTAAGCTATTTAAAAGAGCAAAAGACTAGAGTATGATTGTCAGTATTTACTCTCCTAGAGGTGAAGATTGCTCTTGAGTAAACGCACAAGCGCAATACTTCCCTGAGTTCTCTGCCTATCTTCTGCAACAAATTTCTTACCAGCTCTGTTCCCCTGCAAAGGTAGTTGACGAGAATCAAATTTTACATCTAACATATATCAATCTCAATTCTCAAGTACCCTTTTTCTTCTATCCTCCTAATTCAGCAGGTCAAATGCCAGCCTAGACTACATTAATTTAAACCAGTTTGAAATGGGCTTCAATCCGTAATTTTGAAAAAAACTATTGATACTTCTCTATTCTAGACATACTCTCTGGCTTCCAAAATTCCAACTTAAGGCCTACTTTATGCTGTGAATTATTATAAGTACTGTCAAAATAGTTTCCAGATAATAAAAATATAGTAAAAATATTACGTGGGATTAATCATAATAAAGAATTTGTAAAAATGGTAAAATAGTAGAAGGCTGCATAATAATAAAAATTACTATTACAAACAATTTTTATAATATTATAAACTATTTCATAAAATTTTTTTACAGCAATTTAATCTTTTTAAAATATTTATTTTATTTTAATTATTAAAATAATTTCTCAATATAAATATTTTGCAATATCATTATTTAATTTTTTTTAAAAAACTACTTAAATAAATAAACATTAAATTATTAATAACAAATTACAATTTTATTTTATTTTAAAAATAATAAATTGATAAAATTAAAGATTAAAAATAATTTCATCTACTATAAGTCATATCTCAGCAATTTCTTTTTTGAATTCTTTTATTTCACTTTTATTTAGAATCAAAACAATTTTTGTTTTTAACTAAAAGTGAGCCCATTTTAAACATTTAATCGAAGCTTCTTTTTATAATAGGAATTGAAGGCAGGCAGGCAAATCACTTAAACTTCACACTCAGCTAATCACATTTAAAGAAAAATCATACCTCTCTAAAAGCTGGATATCCATTCTGAAAATGTACCACGTATGGACAACTGTAACTAAGCAGAAGGGAGAAAGAAAACGTACCTTTGGTTTCTCAATGTCTCCTTCAACATCCAGAGCAGTAACATTGCTCACTAAGATGGATGAAGCAGGCAAAAGTTTCCTGATTTGTTGGGACACAACAGAGAACAATTTAGAGATAACACAAACGGATAGGTCCACTCTTGTTAGAAAGCCATACGAGAGAAATTTCAACTGCCTAAACTAGTTAAGAAATAAATTAACCAAACACGTCAGACATTGAATATCCTGATGTCCTAACTGACCTTTTTGGTTTCTCCAAATTCAGTGTCTTGTCGGAAGTATCATGCTTTGGTTGAAGCTCGGGCACGTCAAAATTACATCCCCGGCCTACAACTTCCGCATGTGACAGCTGGAGGTCCGGTGTTTCCTATAATGGAAATGAAAAGTTAAATTCTCCAAAGAGTTGATATGGGTTAACAGACAAGAGGAGATGCACTAATCAAGAAACAAAAGACATACAAAAAATTGTGTCCGCTAAGAGCATAACATAGACCAGAATATTACCTAAATTCACCAACTCTTCCTAAATAATATTGAAATCTAGCACACTGTAAACTAGTTGAGAATACATAATATCCAGAAACTGATCCAATACCTAGTAACTTATATTGAGCTTAATCTAGTTGAAACTAGTGATTTCAGTAATAATATATGCTTAAATTGTGAGATACTATTGACCAAAGAAATTTATTACAGGATTGGAAAACAATAAATAAGAAATCCAAAAAATGACGCTAATTAACAAAAATGCAAGGCATCATTTTCAATTTACACCCATTATTCACAGATGAGATGACCATTCCTTTGCCAAGCATCGGCTCATAAACAGCCTAAAAGTGAAAAAACCAATTCATATTTCACTACTTTGTAAATATAATTTAAGTAACTATATTAACAGGTTTGTAACTTTAATAAAATCATAAATCATAACTATTATGCTTTAGATGCAATAGCTGGATTCTCACAGTTCAATAATTTATTTAGGTTGATATAAACAAACATTTTGGATGTTACATAGTGCATAGTTAGATATCAAATGTCGCGAACCAAAAGGATGCAGTAGAAACATCAAACTCCTGTATGATAACTGAAGAAGTAAATGGGAGAGAATTTAACCTCATTCTCACTGGGCTGTTGAGTCAACTCCACCATTGAGAAGCACCCGTTACCAACCATATCACATGATCGAGAAGAGTTTATCTCAGACTCTGAAAGTCTTAAAAATGTTATTTGACACACAGAAGACATGGTGAAACAGGAGGAATATATTACATTATTCCAAATCATATTGGTTGAGACTAGATCTTTGCGCAGGCTAGACCAACCAGCAATCATCAACTAGAGGAAGTATATCAAATAAAAAATTCATCCAAAATGGACTAAAATGGTCGATTATATACCTACAATAAGGTGTCTGGCAATCCAGATGCCATTGCTGTCTGGCAATCCAAATGCCATAAAGTGATAGGATATATGATCTGTTTGTTTTTTTTCTGTACTTATCCTCGAACTGAGTCCTATGTTAAATGGACTTTTACATGTAAGTATAATGATGTATTCTTCAATGAATCAAATCACCCAGTGTAAAGTTATCCCAAAATTTAACATGATATCAAAGTGAAAGTCTACTGTTGAAATCATAACTGTTACTTTGTTTTTGTTAATTAGTTTCAAAACAAAATTGGTTGACTATATATTTTATATACACTCGCCTAATAAACTTACGCTTAAGGAAATGCGTTAATCTATAGATAATAGATTGACATTTTTTATCAGCATAAGCATAAGAAACTATAACAGAAAATTTATCCTATCGTAAGATTGCGTTTCATAAATTTTCATTTAATTCCTATTAATTCTTTTCATACTAATCTTACCATAAACAATTAGTACGTATCTAGTTTACCATCATCCCATAACTGTTACTTTGTTTCTGTTAATTAGTTTCAAAACAAAACTGGTTGACTATATATTTTATAAACACTTGCCTAATAAACTTACGCTAAAGGAAATGTGTTAATCTATAGATAATAGATTGACATTTCTTATCGGCATAAGTATAAAAAACTATAACAAAAAATTTATCCTATCGTAAGATTGCGTTTCATAAATTTTCATTTAATTCCTATTAATTCTTTTCATACTAATCTTACTATAGACAATTACTACGTATCTAGTTTACCACCATCCCATCTTAAATTCCTTAATGGTGGAAAATCAATTCCTACCTTACAAACTAGAGGTTGAATTCCCAATATCAAAGAATTCACGATGGAAATGGTGATAATTCAAATACAATAAATTATGTTTTAATTATATCTATTAAGGCTAATATGAGCATTAAAGTTTCAAATTAATAATTGAATAAAACTGAACCAAACTCAAAGTGAAGGCTATTTAGTTGAAGAAAATAAATTATATTACCTAAAAAACATGGAAAAGTGTTCTGTTAAAAAAAGGATAAAAAAGTGAAAATTTATTTATTTTTTAAACAAACAAGTGTTTCTACTAGATACTTTCCTTTCAATTAATATCAACAGAAGGTTTGTTCTTTAATCTCCTAGAGATAGAAAATTAAAGACAAATTTTTAAACTGAACTTCCTCTAAAAATTTCCAAAATATAAATTAAGTGATTCTTATGGTATAAACTTCAAAAATAGATTTACAGCGTCAAACCTGCAGCATCTGAATTAGGATGGTGATCCTTGATTCCCACACAATTTAATTCATTTGAATCCTCATTGCTCATTCCATTCCCATATAAGCTTTTAGATATCTGAGTTCCACATTGCATGATAGTTATTTTAATTTAAAGCTATTCTTGAAAAACGCTCTAACTCACAAACCTAGAGAAACTAATAAAAAGTACCTGATAATTCTGCTGGACTGATCTCTGAACATTAAAGCAAGTAGCACTGACTATACCATCATCTGGACATCTCAACTAATAATGTGGAGAAGAAAAATCACATCAATTGCAAGGCACCAAAAGAAAAGCAAAAGATAATAAATATGGTGGGGCTTTTTTGCTCATAGTAGTCATAGATCAATGATTACCATCAGCAGAGCTGAACCCTGAGACTGAAAAGAGTATTCAGCTTTTATCTTGACAAACAATCCAAATGTTGTTACGTGGATTAAAGCAAAAATATATATATATATATATATATATATATGGCTATAAAAATTCCTACTGTCTGTAGTTAGGAGAGTTGATAAATCAATTATTGTAATTATGCACCTTCATTCCAACATTTAAAAGGCTTTCTCTACTTGGTGCTTCCGGTATATAAAACATATGTTTTAAATGAAAATAGAACTAAGGTTATACAAGCTTGAGAAAGGTAGAAAGTTAAACAAGCCTCAAAATATTATCCCTTCATAATATAGTTATGAACATACCTTTTGAGATCATTAACATTATATAAGAGTAAAATAAAAGGTTTATTTATCATTATACCTAGAAGTTTTGAGAATGCTACACATTCAGATTCTTTATTATTGGGTGAGTGAATGATGCAAAACAAGAAAATAAAATATAATATTGTAGTATCAGAAAATACTTTTATAATAATTATTAACTTGTTATTTTTATGTGTTCTTGTGTTATGTACATAATTTAGCAAATATAAGTTGGATCTAGGAATTTCTGAATTTGATTCCTTATAATTTAGATATATCATTATCATTAGCGCTATGCTAACCTAGAGAATGGGAAGCCTAGATGACTTTGAGAATTTCTTAATTAAAGATATTTTTTCTTCAGTTGTTTTCACCATCTTGTTCTAGTTATCCCTTCATCTTTTGTTCTCCACTTGCCTCTCCTTTCCCCGTCATTTCTTCACCTATCTCCATTTTCTCTCTATGCCCTCTCCCTCTCCCCTTGTTTTTTCTCTAGCATGCCTCACATCAGTTGGTACTGGAGTCAGCTTGTTCTACATCCTTGACATTTAAGGTTGTAACATAATAACTGTGTCATTATTATTATTTTCCCGAGAAAACAACTATGCTGGTAGTCTGAGAGCATAATGCAAGTGGTTTTTTCTGAACAAACTTTGATGCTAAGAAAAGAATTAATAGAGACGTATAGTAAAGAGATGTAGAGATATAACAAAAGAGAGAGAGTATTACATTCATTCAACAAACACACAATGGTTTACAATATAGGTTTGTTCCCCTTTAATACCTACCAGTTACCCCCTACACTCTGAAAACGTTGCTTTCTCTTCTACTGAATTCTTACATGTACTAAACCCCCTTCTTAAAATTTGTATGCTCAAGGGAAAGAATTTACAAAAATAGAGCATGATTGAATGTCCAGAACCCAATGTATCTTTCATTAGTATCTTTATCCAGTACTTCACAAGACCCATGATATGATAAAAAAAAAAAAAAAAGAAAACTAGTTACCAAAAGTAGAAGATTAATGAGGAAGTTATTGATCTACTCTTATTGGACTGCTACTTTTTAACTCTATTCAACCAAAATTTGAGCAGTTGTGATATTGTTGTATGATCTTGGAGCTGGATTCTTCTGCACTTGATTCCAGCCTTATTAATATCCACCATTAGTTCCCTTCTTGATATACTTTCTCCAATCCTTCAACTAGGAGACTAACAATTTATTCCATCTTGGCCCCAAAGAAGTCGTCAGTTAGGGTAGCTAAACCAGATTTTGGAGAGTCCTAAAAAAATTTGCTAATACCAAAACATCTATAGAAAGAGAACAACTAATTCTTTAAGATACCTAAATTGTTTCACAGGGTGCTTTTTTCCAATTGAATGAATTTTCTCAGTCAAAACAGTTCTGAATTCCAAGATAACCAAAGAACTTATTGCAAAGTTACGAATGGGAGCAACAAGCTTTGGCTTGATCATGTGTACTTTCTGCATAGAAGCCAGTGGTTCCTCCTGTTAAGATATATTTTTCATTTTGTATTTTACTTGCTATGTTTATCCATGCAAAGAGTCCCACAAAATATGGACTGCTCTTTGTGTATGGATACTGTCACTAAACAAAATGCAAAACATGGTAAGTCCCTCCAAACCTTAACCTCCAAGGGGTCACTTGATTCTTTAGAGTTACTTGTAAATCTTCATTCTTAGGACAATCAACCATGATAAATAAGGTTCTCCTGAAGTTTTTTATTATTCTCATTCACCATCATCAAGCAATTAACAAAACATGGCAAGATTCAGTCCACAAGTTTGTTCCAGTGGCTGCTCACATTATTTTGCAGTTTCCTTCAGCCATGCTTCATAAAGTTGTTTAGGGTTCAACTCACGATTAGCAAAGGCAAAAAAAAAGTTATGGGGATTCAAGTGAAAATGAAATGAGATAAGAAACAGGGATTGAGTTGAAGTATTTGATGATGCTTGACTGGATAGGGTTTTTAATTAAAGAAGAAGATGCTTGACAAGACTGGGGTATCTCCAGCTTTATTACCAATTAGTATAAACTGATATTAAAAAGGAATTAACAAATACTAGAGATACAGAGAGAAGACACTGAGAGACGGAGAGACAACAAAGAGAGTATTCCATTTTCATTCAGCTAACAGCACAATGCTTTATAAAGTAGGTTTAATATACTTCCCTTTTTATCTATTAACTAACCTCCTGCATCCTAAAAACACCATGTTCTCTCCTACTGCAATCTTATGCATATCAAGATGACTTGGTTCCAAGAGACAAGGAGTAATAAAACAGTTGTTCTATGACACATGAAAGCAACCGAAAAAGGTACCTGAACTTGATCATGTCCTGTAGTGGAGTCGAATCCATCAGCTGTGCTACTACATTCTGATCCTTTCATGTTAGGAGACTGGGTATCCGCATTTGCCTGAACATTAAAGAAAAACTAGAAGCTTCAGATGTTCTTTGTAACAAGGAGAACTGGATGTATGTAAATCAACTGCTCAACCATGAACATACATAAACAAATTAGGACCTTTTTGATCTACATGGGTCCACTATTAATACCTCATCAACATGATATATGGATCTCTCTAGTTGCTTTCCAGCCTCAAAATTTTTATCTACCATAGATAAGGCCACATCCACCAAATTTTGGTTAGAACAAGTGCAATGAGACTTTAAATCATTCAGCTCCTTTTCCAACTTAAGAAATCTGGTCCTCTCATTGTTATGACTTTCTCTGAGCCTCTGAATTTCACTTTCTGCTACCTGATGACAAGTGTTTGTGAGTAGATAAAACTAGTTTTATTAAAATCTATATCAAGGCATCAGCAATAGCTTTGTCCAAACTTCATGTAACGACAATTAAAACCATTTATTTAGCATATAATAAGGATTTTACCTTCAGTTTTTCTTTATACTGCTTCAGGACACTCCATATGGCTTTAGAAAAACCAGTCATTATCCTATAGCTTCTCTCACTGTGATTCTTGCCAACAGAACTCAATTTTGCTAAGACACCATCACCAGTGTCCACAGTGTAGATCTGAGAGGCCTCTATCAAAAAAAGTACAGAAAAGTCGAGAAAAAAGACAAAGAATCTAAGAAATTTTTTTAAGAAGACACTACTGCAATTATTTAGACTACCTTCCCTTGAAAGTTGGGGTTCATGCACTGCATCTGCTCCTTCAATCTGGAAAAAATACTGACATATATTACAATGAGCAATTAAATACAAGCTTCACCTAAACAAATTCTTAACAACATGATCTGCGAGGCACTTAAACTAAATCAAGCATACCATATAATCGGGTATGAAAAGGAAATACTATGTTAATCTACTACAGTTGACATCAAGATATTGATCAAAGAAGCTTCTTTCACTTTGTTCAAATAATAAGAGCAATTATAATGAAATAATATGGCAAGAAAATTATTGGAGCTGTTGCAGTTGTATAGAGAAAATATAAATAGGCACAGTAAGAAAAGAAGGCTTAAGTGAAATGAAAAATACCACAGGATCATTATTGTAACAAAACTTCATTCTCTTTGATGGCTCAACACTTGGAAATGCCGAAAACTGCCTCTTATTACAAATTTCCTCAACATTATCGAACCTAAATAAATTTGTAAAGCAGATATTAGTAAGAAGATTGGATCTGAATAATATGGGGGGAGAAAGATAAAGAAGTTTACTTGATTGTCATCAACGGTGAAGCTTGTTTCAAAAGGTATGATGTATCGTGATAGTCTTCCTCCCAAGGCCTCACAGTTAAAATCTTCAAAAGGAAAAAAACAGAAAGTTGGGACAAAATTGAAAGTTGTAAATCCAATAAAAGATAATCTTATATGAAAGACGGTTGTAAAGTCTCCGATCATACCAAAGCCATCATTTTCTTGCCTTCTAAATAATCTCGCAGGTATCTCGTCAACTATTTAGGGATAAATTACATTAGTAGATGAATAATTTTAAAGTAATTAAAAGTGTGGAAGGTCAGGAATAGCTAACTATAGCAACCATGTCATGCTGAAAACGAACCAATCATGTAAACTATTGAAGAGAACAAGGTCAAAGGAAAAAAATTAAGACACTAAGAACTAGTAACCAAAAATTTACAAAATGAAGCCTATAGGGATACCTTACCAAAGAATTCTGGAAATGCTTTTGCAATGCCTTCTTTGGATTCTTTTGATGCTCCAACAGTGACTGGAAGTCATGAAAAGAACAACTCCAATTATACAAGTAAAGGAAGGTTATTGGAGAGAGTTATTAAGTTGCTAGTAAAAACCAAGAAGACCTTGAAGCTGATTAGAAGGTCCAGCAAATCAAGTTTAAGCATATACCCGGAGGCAAAGGCCAAAAACCATTGATGTGTTGTTGATAAAATTACTTTCAAGTAATCTTGCCCCCTGAGAAATAGTACAATAAATCTGAGATGAATAATATTTACTCCATAAGCAGCAATTAGCAACAAATAATGCATGTCTTATGAACATGCAACATTCTGACTATTTGACTCTTGAACCAAAATACAAGAACTTTCTATAATCATAATATTTAAAACATAAACTTCAATGACACAGAATTTTGAGTGTATCCTAGCTGTTTGATTGCAAAGAAAAAAAAAAGTACATTGTTGGTCACATTACGAGAGTTCCAACAATTATTGTTGTTCAAATCGCGCCAAAGTATTCAAGATCCATTTCCAAGCATAGTTAAATTATATCCTCTACTTTCAAGTACTATTCATTTAAAATGCTGATGAACATTTGGCCACTGCTGGTAACAAATTTCTTTAGATATTTTCTTCAAGAAAATGCTAAAAAGTTCAGAGATAGCATTACTTTATTTCTTGAGTAATCACATAACTCATTATTTATCCATGAGCTAACATCTTTAGGGTGCATTAATATCAAAACTTTCAACACAATGATCGTATAGGAGCAATAATTTATGATAAAAACAGAATATAACCTGGTTTCCAGTTCTTTTTCCTCTTTCTGCTCCAGCTAAATCAACAATTGTTAGCACAGCATTACTTGACTGAGCATAATTTTCTTGTCCAGAAGAGATAGCAACAGTTCGGATGTTAATGATGCACTGTGAACGGCTGGAAGCATGGAAACAAATGAACCAAAATAAGACAGGATGTAAATGTAACTGCCCAGGCTACATGTTAGCACAACAGGACAATTCAATTTAAAATATTCATGCCCATGAACCTGGATTGACTATTTGCATTTGTCATAGCCGTGGCACGTTTCAGTATTGCTCGAGCAATTAATGATTCTGCTTGTGCAACGTCATTGATGGGAACCTGTTTATATAATTTGGATTTGGAAAAGAAGTTGTTACTGTTACTCATGAATATGCAGTGGGTGTTTGAGAACAAATAATGTATTGGCTCTATTTCCATTATGTAAAGTCTTTAATCACTAACGATAAATTACTTCACAAGGTAAATTAACACAAGGCATGGTGGATCTAGACCCACATGTTCACCTTTAAAGGATTTTCACGTGTCAAAATAACGTATCGAACCATTTAATTGACAGCTTGACCTTTCGAAATAGCTGGCTACACAATTAGTTTTTTCAGATTGGGGAAGCAAAAACTAAAATATTAAACATAAAGTATTCATGTTAACCTCCTGCAGGCCTTTAATTGTTGACTGAAGCATGCACAAGTCAGTACCATCCAGGGTTAAATCAGATATCCTCTCTCCTTTCCCTCGTTCAGAATATATTTCAAAAATTGAAATGTAAAATGACCTGTAGAAAAATAACCAAAAACAAAAAATGAAGCCAACGTATTCAAAATATGAACTCTGAAATAAAGAACATTTGGCTTGGTTTTCGTATCATAAGCCTACAGCGTGTTGGTCTGCTTCAATACATAATCCGGTTTAATTAACTAGACAACCCCACAAGACATACAGAACATTAAAACGTGAGTCGTAAGAAAATTAAGAGTACGGATGAATGGAAAACATGCCAGAAAGAAAGGTACCTAGAAGCGGATCCGGATAAGTGATCCTCACTCCGGTTGAAAATTCGTTTAAGAGCAAGGGGAACCATCCCAGGGTCCTTTGGACTCCCGAAAACAGTGTAGGTTTTGCCGGAGCCGCTGGGCCCCAATGCGGCAAGCATTCTGCTTTTGCCTTTAAGAAACTCCTCTACTATTGGATTAACCATTTTTTCATATACCTCAGCCTGCCCGGAACGCTCAGATAAACTCATCAACACTTTAAGTAAATTGCTAAGAATAAGAATTGATAAGAGAAAAAAATGGAAGAAAGGAGTTAAACCTGAGATGAATCAGGAGGGAAAACATAAGAAAACCCTTCATAAACTTCAGATTTATTACGCTTCAGCTCCTGTAAAGCCGACGGTGGGGACAGTGTCACAGAGTGAGTATCATTGACAGTCAAGCATACCTCGTTACTTTTCCTCTTAATATTCTTCTCTTTCGTGTTATTCTTCTTAGCGGCGTTCTGAGGCCATGCATTTTTAGGCCTGACCCTGGAATTCTGATCGCCAAAAGCACTGGTGACCCCATTTCTGGAACTCCTGAGGGGTCTGATTCTGAGAAAGACCCTGAGATTCTCAGATATTGGTGATTTTGGTTCAGGAGTTTGTATTCGAATTAAATCTTCCATTTGGAAAGAAGGAATGTCGGTCAACTCTGAAGATAAAGGGATAGGGTTTCGCCTAGTGTCCGTGGAAGGAGTGGCTCTGGCCTTCCGGTGAGGGTTTCTCCGTACTGTCACTGTGTTGGAGCAAGGTGGTGTGGCTTGACTCTTCGGCTCCATTTCGCTCTTCCTGAGTTCTCTCTCTCCGATCAAAAATGGCGGAAAATCTTTTTATTTTCAAATTCAAGGCGATTGTTATATTCCGCCGTTCGGGTCTCTCTTCGAATTGGGCTGGGCCCAGTCTCGGCCCACAACTTTCAATGAGTTTAAAAAAGTGGTGGTAACCCACTGAAATATTCATAAATATATATTACATATTTACTAATTTATAAATTTAATAAATTTAAAATAATAATATAATAAAAGTTTCTTATTAAATTTTTATATTCATCATAAATTATTTAAATAATTTTAATTTTTAAGAATAAGTAATTGTGATTTAAAATCAATAACTATATTGAATAAAATAGATCAAATAATTAAATTAAATTAAATTATTATTTAAAATAATAGGAAAATTTTAATATATATTAAATATTATTTAAGTAATTGTAACTCATTTTATTTTATTATTACGCAAATAGCTGAATTATATAGATACTATATAAATATACAAATATTTATATGTTACTTAAATATTTAAAATATTATGATATATACATATACATTTCGAAAACAAATTAATTAGGTTAAGTTGGTCCATTCGATTTCAATATTTTAGAACCAATAACCAAACAAAAAAATATAACGATTTTAAAAATAAAATAAAATTGATTTAACCAATTGGCCGAACTAATTTATTTAAATAAGTTCGATATAGTCAAAGAAATTAGTTCAATTCAATTTTTATATTCTTTCAAGTGTATCGTATTTTTTACGTAACAAAAAATTATAATAAGAATGTAATAGTATACAAAAAAAACACGAGAGCTCGTGTTTATAGGCTAAAACGCATGGTAACTCATGTTTATGTAAAATGAAAGTTGCTATTTTGAGTTCGTTGTCTTCATTCATTGAAGATAGGTGACATAAAAGTATCATTTATGTCGTCAGAAGAGTTAATTGTCTGATCAAATGACATTTTACAATAAAGATAGAGCCTTTATATATTATTCGTCGTGTTAAAAAATATAAATTTTGTTAAAGTGATCTTTTTTTTAATCTCATTTAACTTTGACATTGTAATATTTATTTGTTTGTGATAATAAAGATTGATATTGATCCACGTAAACTGTCACATAAAATTATATTATTTTAAAATTATTGTGTTTTCTTATTGTATGTATCATTTTTGTTAGTTCGAGACCGTGTATAAAAACTAATATTACAAAATTCTAATTTGAGCATATTAAACTTTAGTTTGCGATGCAACACTCTATCGTAACGGAGCAGAAAGCAAAAAATATGTTTCTCATCCTCATTTGAAGACAAGAATTTGCTGATTGCCTACAAAATATTAAAACAAATATGCATTCAAAACATGCTCATGGTCGTAATCTGTATTACTCAAGACTTGCGTTAATTATACAGTACTTACATGTATGCTAATTTTGGTCTCGTCAACTCACGAATTAAACATAGTACGGTTGATTTCCATTACACCAACCACAAACCACACAATTTTAATTGCGGCATTTTCCAACTCCCACTAAAATAATTACAGATTTAAACTATAGAGATGGGGCTAACCATTGGATAGAAGAAGGCGAGTTGGAGCAGAGTGAGGGGGGTTGGTGAGCATGTGAACAACTTCTCTCATGGTGGGTCTAGTAGAGCTCTCATCCTCAACGCACATCATGGCTATCTTGAACAGAAGAATCACACCAGACAGTGGATATCCAGTGAGCCTCGAGTCTATGATGGCAAGAGCAGAAGCTGCATCAGACGGCGGAGACACTTCTGATGTTGTTTTTCTAACCCATCTCACAATATCTACACCATCTCCGAACTCCCCCACTGGCTTCCTCCCTGTTATTAGCTCCAGTAGAACAACACCGAAGCTATAAACATCACTTTTCTCATCTATTTTCAACGTGTACGCGTACTCTGTTCACGATATAACACAGAGAAGACTAATAAGAGTTGCAACAGTATAAATAAACGGAGGATGATGAAGAACAAGGAGGACGAACCTGGGGCGATATAACCGTAGGATCCGGCTATGGAAGACATGCACTCGGATGCCCCGGCATCTTGTAAGAACTTAGCCAGCCCAAAATCAGCTACATGAGCTTCAAAGTCGGAATCCAGGAGTATATTATTAGACTTAACATCTCTATGTATAATCAAGGGAGAGCAGTCGTGGTGAAGATAACACAACCCCTTAGCAGCCTCTAATGCGATCCTGTACCTGGTCTCCCATTGCAAGTGCCCTCCTTTTGATCCATGCAACAGCTCCCCTAAGCTCCCATTTGGCATGTACTCGTATAGCAGTAAGTTCGTGTCTTTGTTAGACACGAACCCTAAGAGTCTCACTATATTTCGGTGTCTGATTCGACCCAACGTCTGAATCTCGGCTGAGAACCCATGATCGCTTCTCCCATGGCCTCGTCCTACCAACCGCTTGATTGCAACGTCAACTCCATCTTGCATGGATCCACGGTACACGATTCCCGCCCCACCTTTCCCTATGATGTTCTCTTCTTTTACGCACTCTAGCACGTCGTCTACCTTGAAATCTAATCGTTGGAATGCTGTTAGTTTCCAAACCCGGGAATTTTTGCGCCTCAGCTTTCTCAGCCTATAAACGCTGAACATAATGAGCATCAAGGCGGTGACAAGTGTTATGATTGTAATCGTAAGCTTTGAGGAACTAGATAATGTCGTGTGGTTGTGCCCATTTGCTCGTCCGGTGTTGGTCAGAGACCGGCAAGGAAGGTGGTGGGGTAGACAGAGGTTGGGGTTTCCACTGAAGGCTCTCTCGTCGAAAACCACAAACTGACCTCCAGTTGGAACTTCACCAAATAAATCATTATTGGAGAGATCAAGAATCGTTAAACTTGTCATGTTTCGAATCTCTTCTGGGATTTGGCCAGTCATCTGGTTTCTTGATAAATTGAAGATGCTTAAGTCCATCAGTTTTGCGATTCCTTTCGGTATTTCCCCAGTAAGGTTGTTTCGACTAAAATCAACTGATGTTAACGACATGCAGCGAGAGAACGAAGAAGGAATTTCACCACTAATGTTGTTTCTACTGATATTTAGTTTAGAAAGCTGCTTCAAGTTGAAGAGTGCCTGGGGAATTTCACCGTAGAATCGGTTCATTTCAAGCGAGATAGTCTCTAAGCTGAGCAAGCTACCGAGAGCTGGGGGTATTTTACCTGTTATCCAATTGTTAGCCATTCTTAATAGACTCAGATTTTTGCTTGACATCACTGTAGGTAGTTCACCAGATAAATAATTGTTGTCAACCTCAACTTGGGTCAACATTGGCAAGTTGAAAATCCCTGGAGGAATGATCCCGTTGAGTTGATTCCCCATCACCATAATTTTGGTTAACGACTTGCATTCACCAATTTCTTCAGGGATGGCACCGAAGAAAAAATTATCCATGAGAATCAACGTCTTCAACCTCCCTCCCTTGCATAAATCTCGAGGAATCAGTCCTGTCAAGTGATTATAACTTACATCAAGCATAAACAATTTCCCGTTCCGACCGAGATTCTCCGGCAACTCGAGTGTGAAGTTGTTACCCCACAGATGAAGGACCTCAAGATTCGGGTAATCACCCACAAAAGATGGGATGGGACCATAGAGATTGTTTTTAAACATGTTGAGTAAGGTAATGTTTTTGAGAGTAGAGAAGCTCTGGGGGATCTCCCCCGTTAAATGATTGAAGGAGAGATCCAGAGATTTCAAGCTAATCAAGCCGGAAAGTTCAGGCGGTATACGGCCGGTGAGATTGTTCATCTGAAGGAAGAGAGAGTGCAAGTGTTTCAAATTACTCAAACTGGTAGGAATCTCTCCGGTGATATTACAACTAGACATATCAAGAATTTGGAGCTCACTCAAGTCTCCAAACTCCCGTGGAACACCGCCATTATAAAGATTGGAGTAGCCAATAAACAATGCTTTGAGTTTCTTTAAGCGAGCCAAAAATGCTGGGCTCTTATCAGTTAGATTGTTGGCATTTAAGCCTAAATACTCCAAGTTTTGAATCTCTGAATAACTTTCTGGTATCTGTCCAATGAAATAGTTACCTCCAAAGGACAAATGCTTGAGTTTCTTGAGGTTAGCAATCTGGGTAGGTAATGAACCTGAGAAATTGTTGTTATAGACGTCGAGTATCTCAAGCTCTGGCATGCCCAGTGTGATTTCTCCAGGAAAAAGACCGCTGAATAAGTTGTTAGAGATGTTGAATATCTTCAGTAAAGTAAGGTTCCCTATCTCTAATGGCAACCTCCCAGTGAGATTATTGGAGGACAATGTGAGATTCACAAGCTTGTTCAAGAGCCCAATCTCTGGAGGAACAGTGCCATAGAGAGGAACAAACGACACGTTTAGAGAGGCAACGCGTGAATCTTGATCACATGACACACCAGAGAAGGAGCAATGAGAAAATGGAGAAGACGATGAGTTGTCCCAATCCTCAAGTCCGGAACCTTTTGGGGCAATCATGGAAGTTTTGAGCTTAAAGAGAACATCAAGGTCGGTGTAGCTGAAGCAGACGAACAACAATTGGAACAGAAGAACAATGAAATGAAGGTAAGTATAAGGAGTTCTCATCTTCCTATGTGGCCTTTTCTTTCACTAACATACAATACTGGTTCTACTCCAAACATAGAGGCAAGAAAGTTGCTTTCTTTTTCCGCCACTGGTTTCTGTTGGTGAATTTAATCCAAAGTGAAGAAAGTTGATGGGAAAACTTGCTGTTGGTAGAAGATAGGTACAAGTACAATATAAATATGGAGATGAGATAGAAAAGTTTATAAGTTGTAGCGAGGAAGATAGGCATTTGTTCCTTGTGTTTTTCTGGGCAAACAACACTGACCACTAGTAGTAGTGAGGAGTATAGATTCATATTCTCTACCAATTTAAGTGCTTGAAGAATTCCACGTTTAACAAACAATTCAGTGATTTGGAGAATAAAGACAACTACTTTTTTTTATTATTCGTGTTAAGCACTAACAAAGATATGGGTCAATTCAATTAAGTCGTGTGGCTTTTACCCTTCATAATAAAATCCCCACTTTTGGAAATCATAATGTATGTATGTATAGATAGATATGTATATATATATATATATATGTGAATGTCAACTTAACTTATAAAACAGCAGCCTTCCAAGATGCCTGCGCAAATTGAAGAACGATTGCCACGTATAGTGCCCCCCCCCCCCCCATGCACGATTGTTTTATGTTCTTTTTGTTTTCTTGAGATGCCATGAAAGATGGTTCAAAATACTCGCTAGTTGCATTGTTGACGGCTTCAACATGATCTCCAGTATTATCACTTTATAAAATGCTTTTATAGTCTTCTTCTTTTTATTTGATCTTCTTCTGTGTAGTCTAAAGTTTAACTTTTGGCAAATTAAAATTATAGTTTTTAATGCAAATATTCGTGTTAGGCACTGATGCAATTAGGCAGGGTGTAGATGTTTACGTGCTTGACCCAGCAGCATTTTGTAAAATAACCACAATTTTAAGATGTGGGTGGATAAGAATTTCAATTCATTTATTATCATTTAAGAATATTGCATAAGATCAAATAACCAAGGATTTTAATTTAAAAAAATTTGACAAGGGAATCTTTAATGAATTATATATATATATATGTATATATGATCAATTATATATAATTTTAATAATGTAACTTTATAATAAGAACACGTATACTACAATATTGTATCAATAATATATCGAACATATACAGTTTACGCCTTGAACTCTCACCCTCGTAGAACTAATGAAATTACGCATCATCCGACTAAGAGATCATATCATTTAATAGATTTTAAAATTATAATTTCTACCTAACTTGATGTTATTTTAATTATTGTAGTATGCCATAGTAAAAAATCTTAAAAAATGGTTGTTAGTTTAAATATTGAAGAGTTAATTCCCTCAACAATTGCTTAAGAATTTTGACATACAATGAACATATATAGGACCAGAGAGGAAGGCTCAAAAAACCATGAACAAGAGAGATTCTCTTCCATTTCTACCAAATACTAAACTAAAGTTTAGGGTTTAGTAGAGTTTCAGATACCATATTATGGTAGATAAATCTTTTCTTATTTGTTATTGCTGAAATCTAGAGTAAACAAGGAATGGCACCTTTCCCATGTCTAGAGGTTCTTCCTGTCTAATGCTATTTTCATCTACAAGTTTCAACCAAAATGATCTTTTGCAGTTATGTCCTCAAACATTCGGCTCGTACCAATTGTAACACAATCTTTCCAAATATCTTTCAATAAGGTCCACCCAGCTTAATTGTTTAACCTTGGCTAACTGTAGAAACTTCGTTTTGAAGCTTGTAGTAGTTCAGGAAGTCTTGCCAAGTTCATGGTGGCAGTGAGATTCAAAGGGTTTAATGCTCAACCTCTACTGCTAATATATTCTTGTAAGCCACTGATTAATATTTGAACCTCTTGTTTGAAGCTCAATGAGGTTACACAAACAATGATTAATTTGAGCATTGCTAAGATTTGGGGAAAAACTAAGGAATTAGTTTAATAAATACGGAGACTTATTTTGTATCAGGATTACAAATGAGAATATAGAATTTTCAGGAATTGCACCTAGCTTCCTCTAAAACAGACTATGCCACTACTGTAACCTGGTAATTTGCTTTAAAAATAAAACTAGACTGGCTTAACAATCTATTCAAGAGACAAAATTTTCTTACAAGGAAGAATATGAGAAATCGTTATGTGCCAAATGTAGTTGTCTCATATGAAAAGAGAGAACTATTGCAGCTTTAAGAGATTGTACTGCTGAAAAGAGTATAAAGGAGAAGATAAACAGAATGGGAAGCAGAAGACTAGAAAGAGACAACTTTATAATCTTTTTTTTTTTTTTTTCAACTTTATTCCTCTGATTTCAGTCCAGGATAATTGATGTTTTCAGTACTTTGTAATTCCTTTTCTTCTTCTTCTTTTCTTTTTGGCATATGAATGGCACCATTTGGGTCTTGATAATATGGGGATCCAAAACCCTTTCTTTTTGTTCAAGGTCATCTTCCTACGCTGAAGATTTGATAATTGATGTATTTAGTAATTTGCATCTCTCCATTCTGTTGGGTAATATTTTTTTTTTTTGAAACAAAAGAATGTTTGAATACAGAAGTGTATTCCAAAAATTTCAGCATTCTTTTCCTTGAAGTAGAATAACAAAGAAAATGCCAAGAATATAACAAGGTAGAATTAGATAATGCAATTGTAAAAATTCAATGGAGGATTATTCATCTATAAAATGCTTCGGATAACATCACTTTTAATGCATGATTGGACATTTGAAAGAGAATCAGACCATAAGTGAGCATCCACTTTGCAAACAAGTAAAAGCAACTAATCACAGAAATTAGAGAAGAAATTGAAGAAAAATGAAATCATAAAGCTATGGCCTCAGAGTTATGAGACCTTTTGTTCCTTGGGAAAGCATGAATTTGGTGCTCTTATGATGCTAACAACAGAATATACATCTGATCTTACTTAACATAAGATATTACCTGGCCTTATCTTTTTTTTTTTGAATTCCCAGGAAATGACCAATAAGAGGCCTCCTTTTCATGCAGTTCTCCATTGCAGCTCAATTTGAATCCGACCATTTTTTGAGTCAATGAGATGGAACTTCTCATTGATTCTTTTGTTGGTAACAACATCAGCAAGGTTTATATCAATATAACCCAGAGCCTCCTGATAAAACATCATAAAGAAAATATATTAGTTGGACTAAATATGTGCAAAAATAGGAGATTAGGAAATGAATACATTCATTTCAGAATTGAAAATGTAACTCATGGATAAATATAAGCAACAGGAAGATCGGGCTTTCAATTCTCATTTCTAGGTTCACAAGCGATTGCAAGGATAACTTTTATATTTCTAATAACAATAACTAGTGAACAAGCCAACAAAGGTAGAGTCCAAAAGATTGTTTTACGAAGAAAGAGAGGTTTGAGTTTCAAAATATTTCTTTAACAACACTGAGAAATGGATTCCTGATTTTGTGGACCAGTAAGTTGCAGCTCAACAGCAATTTATACCTTTGGATGCAGTAGTCCCATCCTTGAAGAAGTACTAATCACTTCCACATGAAGTCTATCATTCATAGGTGGTTCCCCGAGCATAAATTGAAAGTCTTCATCCCATCTTGGATCTCTATTTTTCTTTAATCTCTGTATCAGTGTCATGTCAAACACCATTGACTTGTAAACAACAATCCACACCATATACATGAGGATTCAAGGAATATAAAAAATGACAATCTATTACCAAAATGAATACTTTTTAAAAGCAAGGTGTTGACTTCACCGCCTATTCTCTCTTAACTAGAATATCTGACAATCTTCTTGCAATAGGAAAAATAATATTTACTTGCTGCCCAGGGAATACTACCTAAATAGAATTAAGTTTATTACAAGACAGAAATCCTATAGAAACTCCAAGCCTTCTTGAGCACATCTACAAGTAACCTTTTCCCCCCTTAGGAACTATATAACTTGAGTAAACTAGGAATGCAGGATTTTGAGCACTCAGGTCTCAACCATATGCTTATCAAGGTATGTAGGGAAACAGCTCTTGTTCCTATCGATTATTCATATGAAAACATGTCTCATCAAGTTACTCATGTAAAATAAGATGTATGGCTAACTGAGTCTACTTATCTATAAATCAAATCTTCAGCATTGGATGAATGGGAGGAAAGATGATGCGTCTTAGTGAAACTATGCTGAAGCAAGTTACCTTTGTCATATATAACAATTATGTTATGGCATACCTTCGTTTTTCTCTCTTCTCCTCTTAACAGCAAACGAACAAAAGGATTTGTATGGTACTTCCCTTCTAAAGCCTCAGCTTCATGCACAATAACAACAAGCAAACCACCACCTTCAGGCGTTCCTTCTGGAGCCTTTTCTACTGCATTTGGATCATCAATATCATCAGGCACCTCATCCTCATCAAAAGGTTTATAAACAACCTCTAGTACAAGTTGCCCCCTTGACTTTTCATTCTGAGCATCATTTTGGTCCATATTTTTAAGCAGATCAACTGTCATAACTTTTGGTTCTTCGGCTGTAAGCTCCCTCAATGGTATTGCATTGATGCCCATTTTGTCATGCTTGCCAACCTAGGCAAAAGTTCATGAACAGCTTGAGTGATACAACCCAGAATAAGCACATTACGGAAGACAAGTGGCATTTAAGAGATTTGCATAGACTAGGTGGGGTTGCCTTAGGGCAAATCTAAGCTCTTCCCATCCACTATTATGGAAAATAGAAAGTCAGTGCACAAAAGCTTGAACAAAAGTTTACAACAGTTCAAATAGATATTGAATGCTTAAAAGGTGTTTACCAGATTCCTAGTCAGTCAAGGAAACACAAAAAAAATAAAAAAAAATAAAATAAAATAATACCTGTTCCCAATCATAGACACTTATCTCCAGAACTTGAGATTCTGGATCTTTTACGACCAAACTAAATTCCTCATTCCATTCAGGGTTTAAGTTGTTGTGTTTTACTGTTGTTTTCTTTATATGAAGTTTGTCCCCAGAGAGCTTTAGTTTCACATAAGGGTCTGATGCCCCAAGGAGATCTTTCTTTCTAAGTTTCATGGCTTTTAGGACCTTCACACTAAGAATTCCAACAGGTTTCTGCATGGCCCTGCCAATTTCAAGAGAAGGTTTCAAAAGTATAGAAGAAGGACTTATTACTGTAACTCAGAAATAATATCAGGCTCACATACTTAGCATCCATTATTTGCACTTCTAAGGCTTTAGGCCATAGGTACATATTGGCAACTTGATCCTTTATGAGCTCCTGTGAAACAAGAAATGAATCATGAGAGCATAAATTCAGAAACCAATACAGAATTATTGATATGCAATTCAGTATGATTGAAAAGCATAACACATGTATGGAGGCATATAGTTCATCAGAAAAAGGGTTGACATCCCATGTAAAAGATTTAGAAATGTCACCTGTACAAACACATATAGGCCAGGAATGGACATTATATCTGCCCCTAGTAATTTCAGTCCAATGTCAACGTGTGGCTGCAAAATTGGAAAAAGAGCATTTAAGATCCAGAATCACGTTTCTTTTTCTTTTTTCTATTTAATATTAAGAAAAAAAAAACATAAAATCGATCTTGACAACAACAAACTTCACATTTGACTTATCAGCACCAAAGACCCTGCAACCTTGACTTCTGAGTAAAATTTTCCACACATAAAGATAGGTTATTAAACATATATAATAATGACAATCATCAGATACCTTTGCCATGAGAGAGACACATATTTTGGCAAAACAAGGAAATGACGGAACCAAAGGCTTTAGGGTGATGCGTGGAGTAGCAAATACTTGCAAATCAACCACCTGAAATACTTCAAAAGAAATCAGTCTCAAGAAAAACAAACACACTATCAATGACCTTCTCTCCATGTGTAATGGAAGTGTAAACTTATACATGTGTTAAGCTGTGCACGTGTTCCTGCACAAGCATGCATCTCTGAGGAGTGAATGAGTGCACGAGAGAGAGACCCTGACATCCAACATGTTTTCTCATGCATGTTTTTACTCTTTCATCCTCAGACACATACCTGAGCAGTAGCTTTCAACCCAAATGCTTTAACAGCAACAATAACGTTAGGATTCCCTGCCCACTTCAATGATGGCTCCATGATCAATTCCTTCTCATCAGTTACATAAACTTTCATTCCTAACATAAGGAAAATAAGGGTGATTGAAAATGAGAAAAGTTTTTCTGACTTGTATTCTAAGGGGAAGAACAATAAAAAAAAAATGCAATTTGGCCATAAAACACGTTACAGAGAAGTATTATTGTTGTAATTTTGTGTACGACCAACAAAAAGTGTTGACTAGCCAAGGCAACAACAAAAGTAGTGACAATACAATTATGGTTATATGAAAAAGTAAACTACATTAAACCTCATGATAGGACTCTTTTCTTTGAGATTTGTGCCATTTGCTGAAGCACCCATTATATATTTGTACAATCCAAGTTCCTTACACAAACATTTATGTTCTTACTACGGTTATATGATTCCTTCAGGTATATCAACAAAGATTTCTATTTTGAATGGCAAGAAAGAAACCATAGTGGTTAATTGATGTTGCTGTGCGAGATTCCTTAAACTATAAGCAATTCTGCTCAGGCATGTTTTTGATGCATCCATCTTTACATACTAGTTAGGGAAAAAGGGGTGTTCTGCAGGCAGAACTAAAGGAGGAGGGAACAAACTAACCTTGAAAAGTAGGTGGTAAGGAGCCCAAGGTAAGTGTCTCAAATTCAACTGAATCAATTTTGTACTTTGGAATCTGCTCGGCAATAATGGGCTTTGCAATGTTCCTAGCAGTATTGCAGATTGCCTGAGATGTTGGGGTATAAAAAATTAATTTCTTTAATAGTTTTTCAAAATTTATTTGAAAAAAAAGATGATAAAAGAAAAGACTGAACATTCTATAGCTGTCTTACCTTGTCCAAATAAGGCCACATATTCCCGATAAATTTGTTAAGCCAATCAACCTTCAAAGAAACAAGTTTTCAAGAAGTCGTTAAACCTACAAAACATATTTGACATACAGAAAACCCAGAAAAGAAATGGATATAGCAAAGAACAACATACACGATCAAAATCTGGATTTTTCACCCACTGGGGCATTTCTGGAAGCAATCTTTGCAAGTTTTCCAGTTCTTGTTCAGTCACTGGGTGAATTACAGGATCCTGGATAAATAAACAACCACTAACAGTAGGTAATGCAATCAACTGCTCAATGATTTTCAACAAAGTAACTACCAAAATTCCTGTTTCCTAATATAGCTCAGTTTATTAGTTGGATAAATTCCCTTTGTCCACAAAAAAAAGAAAGAAAGGAAATATAGTTTAAAAAATAAAAATTTGTTTCCTCATCCAAAGTTAAGTACATGATGCTAAAATAAGATTCTAACAGACATTTCTCACAATGTTTTAATTTTGTGAAATCTTTCAAAAAATACACTTAATATACCCAGCACCCAAGAAAAAAATATAGATTACTTGCAAAACTACCCAGTCTATGCCGCTGGATGGAGATTACCGGGCTAAGTTTCCATCACTTTCTAATGACTCTGCATAGATTGCATGCAAGGAAGCATACAGAACAGTGATCTCAGAAAACAAAATACAAACCTACAGTTGAACAAATACTGTTCCAACTTCCGAGTTTTAGCTCTTTACCAATTTCAAGTACCCTTCTTATTGTAACAATCAATATTATAGATATGGGATTTTCTAACAACAGAACTAATTGGACAGCACTTTCAAGCAGTTAAGGAGAAAGAAATAGGCCTTCTCTGACATAGAGTACTAACAACTTAATAATTTGCATCCCTTCCAGTGTTCATTTTTCATCTACTGTTTTACCTATAAGACGTAAAGTTTAAAAGTTATATATGTATCTCTTTTTGTGGTAGGATAAATCCAGAAATCTCAGTCTCTCGTGCATAATCTAACGGATGCAAAACTGTAGCAGAAACCCATAAAGCAACCCAGAGAAAGAAAGTGGAGAAAAATCAGAAAATGCTTTAAAATTAGAATATAGTTACAGAAAGCTGACCTCAACAGCAGTTGGCAGTAAGTGAATGAACATGAAATAACCGATGATAATCCCAATTGTAGTGCCAACGCCAAAACCAAAAGCACCCAATATAAGACTGAAGAAACTCATTTCCAATCTCGTTTCAGATCACGCAAAAATCTCCAACTTCACCCTGTCAGAAATCAAAAGATATCTTCCTCCTTCACGACGCCATTATGGAAACATACAAATCAACGAAATTGAAGAAAAAGACGACATGATCGGTCGAAAAAAGCTAAAATGTCATACATAAACATTGTATACGCAAATGCACAAAAAGGGGAAAGGAAAGCGCGGATAAACGCCTTAAGTGCAATAAAAGTAGCATTTATTATTGTGGCCAAGCTTGTTCCAGTTTCAGTGGATTTGCATTTTAACAAAAATGGGTTTTGAAGAGAAAGAAAGATTCAATGGCGTGATGCATGGAGCGCGCGTGTAACGTCCATTTGTTTTGGGTAATTTATGAGTCGTTGGATCTTTTATGATTCATTTAACGCTTCAGATTCCAGCTTTTCAACTTTGTAATCTCCATTACTGCTCTGCTTCACTAGCCCGCACTGTTGATTAAGACAAAAATTAAATTAAATGCATCAGAAAGGAAAAAGAACTACAGAATGATCATCCTCACCCCTCTTTTTTTTGTCCTTTTCTTGTTTTCTTTTTAAAGAATGTTTGATCATACTAAAGATGCCAGTCTTTTCATTATCCATTTTCTTTTTAAATCCACTTTTTGTTCTTGATTTTATTTATTTTTATTAATAATACATGAATAATAATAATATTATTAAATTAAGATAAAAATATTAATTTCAATAATTAAATAAATAACTCATTAATTTAATATTTTTTTATTTATTCATAATGGTTAAAATTAAATAAAATGTCATAATCAATAATTGTTATAAAAAAAATATATATATTTTAATAAAATAAATAGTTTTAAAATAAATTATAAAATTATTATATTTTATAAACATTAAATTATAATAATAAAAATAATTATCAACATATTCTCATTTTATTTGAATCTTACGTAAATTAAAATTATAAAATTATTATTTATAATATAATTTTATATTATTTTTTTTAAAAATATGTTAAATTTAATAAAAATAATTTTTACATTAAATATTCTTACAAATAAAATTAAGATTTTTATATATACGTTGAGTTGTTTGTACTTTTATTTTGTAATTTTCTAATAGAATTAATTTCCATTATTTCAAAATTATATAATTAAAACACAACGTGTATTTCGATTATCATTTATTTAAATATATATATATATATATATGTGTATGTATATATGCAGGATGATAAGGAAATGTTTTTATTTCATTGGGTTGAAAATGTGAGGAGTTTGAGATTTTTGTTTTGCAATGTTGTGACATTATCTTATCTTATTTTATTTTTATGGTCATCATGTGCTTTGATTGCGAAACAACCATAAGAAGCACTAGGCCACGATGACGGCAAAAATGTGCTCCCTCCAAATATATATACAAACACACACACATATATATATATACACACACACCCACGTTGCAAAAAGTCAATTAATTGGTTATTCTTTTATTATTTTTCAATGAAAAAAAAAATTAATTTATTATAATTATCGAATTTAACTTAATCATTATAGTATTATTAGATTTATTTTTTAAATAAAAAATAAAAATGATATACACATATTAATTATAACATATATATGTATAATTATATTTATATTATATAGGGATAAAATTTTAAATGTTGTTCACTTAAATTTTGAAGTACAAAAAATTTAATACAATAATGTAGATAGTATTTATTTTAATTTTTAAATATACAAAAATAAAATTTAATTTTAATAGGCTACAAATCAATACACATTATAGTTTTTAAGTACAAAAATAATTTTGATAATATATATTTAAAATTTTAAAATATGAAAAACAAACATTTTAATTATATGGAAATAAAAATTTAAATAGTATCTATTAATTTTTATTTTTTGGTGATAATATAAATTATAAATTATTTATTAAAATTTCTATATAAATCAATCTGAGGATAATTATCGATAAACAAGTTCGTAAGATGAATTTACCAGTTGAAACATGGCCGATATATGAGATGCGAGTGATAAAAGGCGAATCCCAGTAGCGTTTTCAGTTTATAAACAGCAGCGGATGAAGCAAATCACAGAAGAAATCAGAAGAGAAAGCAAAAAGAAATGGGAAAAACGAAGGTGCTCAGAGAAATTGAATGAATGGATAGGACATTTGTCCTCATGTTTCAAATCAGATTAACGAGATGTATACAAAAACCCATCATCATCGCACCTTCTTCCCCTACTTCATCTACGTAAAACAAACACAGAAAACGACGATCGGATGAGGAACCACAGAAATTGTTTGTGTTTTGAAGCCGGCGCATTAGGGTTTTGCTTCGATTTATATAGGCAGATGGGGGAGAGCAAAGTTGTTGCTCTAATTACAAAAATGCCACGATTTGGGCTTTATTGGGCTTCAATGGGCTGATAATCACCACAAGTTTCTTAATGGACGTCTACTTGGCCCAGTAAAAATTCAGAAAATAAAAAACTTGGTTTGTGCGCATAGAAACTTTCTGAGTAGATCAAAGAAATTTGTGAAGTAGGAAATTTGAGTAGACTGAAATGAGGTCCCCGTAACATAAAGATTCCTTCTTTTTTATTGAAATTTTGTAAATTTAAATAAAATTAAAGCTAAAATAATGGAGAAATGAAGTGAAATCCACCACTAAAGTATTATACTATACAGAATAATGAAATCAATTGTGTGAATATCCAGATTCAGATTGTATTGTATTTTGATGGTCTACTTGTTATCATTTGACCAAACAAAATCCGCCATTAACAACGCATACAGACTCACGTAAAGGTAAGCAATTTCTCTTTTCGATTTCAAGAGTAAGGAATCCTGCTGGTTTAACTTTGCTTCATTTCTTCATTTGAATCATCCTTCGACAATAATTTTGAATGCCCTTTACTCCAATTTTCACCAACAAAGCTCCCACATGTCTGCACATGGCGGCTTTACAAGAATCAACGATTTAAACCCATTGTCACCCTTCTTTGGAATTGTATTTCTGGTATCAATTCAACTGCCAAGTTTCTGAATTCCTGATGGCTAAAGCTGCCACTGTATCTTTAGATTTCTCCACTGCAATTCTGGTTCGAGTTGATCAGTCTGGGAAAGGGGATTTCAAAAACATTCAGGATGCCATTGATTCTGTCCCTTCTAATAATACACAACTAGTTTTCATTTGGGTCAAGCCAGGAACGTACAGGTTATTAGCTTTCCAACTTTTTCTTGCATATATATATATATATATATGTACATAGATTAATAATGAGAAATTAATTTTGGGTATGAACGGAAGTTCATGTACATGGTAATGAAGCAGAGAAAAAGTAGTTGTGCCTGCTGATAAACCTTTCATAACATTGAGCGGAACAAAAGCCTCTAACACCGAAATAACATGGAATGATGGTGAAGAACTTTTTGAGTCTCCGACTCTTGCTGTCTTGGCTTCTGATTTTGTAGGACGATATGTCACAGTTCAGGTATATATTAATTTTCAGGAAGTATATATATATATATTTTTAAAATCTGTAATTTACTACTCCTGTAGAGTTATTTTCATTGCTTTTGAGCTCTAGCCTGGATTGTTGATCATGTTCAATTTTAAATTTGTTCATAGAACACGTTTGGGACAAGTGGGAGGGGCGTTGCAATGAGGGTTTCAGGGAAGAGCTGCATTCTATGGCTGCAAAATTGTATCTTATCAAGACTCTCTCCTTGATGACACGGGAAATCATTACTATAAAAATTGTTACATTGAAGGAGCCACAGATTTCATATGTGGAAATGCTGCTTCTCTCTATGAGGTGAGGACGCACTACATATATATACATACATACAATGTCTAAGTTTTACTGGCTTTCAGTTTGTGTGTGTGTATATATATATATATATAGATATTTATATGAAAAGCCTCATGTCCTTGTAGAGATGCCATCTGCATTCAGTTTCCGAGAGAAATGGATCAATCACGGCCCAAAAAAGGTCGTCTGCATCGGAGAATACTGGCTTCACTTTCTTGGGTTGCAGGGTTACTGGGAGTGGAAGTGCCTTGCTCGGAAGGCCATGGGGTGCCTACTCAAGAGTACTCTTTGCTCAAACTTACATGTCAAGTGTCATCAGTAAACAAGGTTGGAATGATTGGGGAAATGAAAGCAATCAAAGGTAAAATCAATCAATCGGTCTTCTTTTCTTCAACATCATTAAATACTTTTAATTGAATATCTCACGATTCGCGATATGAAATATTTTAACAATTACAGAGAATCTAAACTATTAGGAATTTGATTGTTTCGTCAAAATATTGATATCGGAGATAATTTATAAAGTGTTGGGTTGTTGGTTGTATGAACAGTAGGGTGTACTATGGTGAATACAAGTGCTATGGTCCTGGAGCTGAAAGATCAGAGAGGGTTAGATGGTCACATAGTCTATCAGATGATGAAGCTGCAGCCTTCTTGACAAAGGACATTATAGGAGGGAAAGATTGGCTCAGACCACCACCCACCCACTTCACAAGACTCCCAACAATCACCTCTCACAATATCCAGACTTTGGAATAATTTAAAAGATATTGTTGAATTCATTTGCAAATTACACTTCTAACTAGGAGATAGTGCAAATTGTATTAAGATGCAAGAAAAATATTGATATTATAAAGGATTTCATTTGAAATTAGAATAATATATTTTAAGTTTGATAGAATCAATCGTTCTAATATCTCGTGTAATTTTATATGAATTTATTTTTTATCATTATATTAAATATTTTATTATTTTTTAATTCATAATTAAATTTAATAAAATTTTAAATTTATTCTTAACGTAGTTTAAAAATTAAACCAAAAATAATATGAGAAAAGGGAATAGCCCATAAATAATTTTAATAGAAAGAAAAGAAAGAAAACGGGAGAAGATGGTGAGACTAGCAGCTTCAGTGTTTAATCGAAAAATATGTAGCCATGGATGGAGGTAGAGAAATATCTCTCGTATATAATGAATATGGAAATGCTTGGTCCTTAAAATCTTCAAGTCCCTTAAGACTGTGGCTTTTTTTTGGTATAGTTAGTGTTCCTTTTTTAATATACCTAACCAGTTAAATTTAAGCTTAGAAGCAAGGTTTCTTTATTGGGGACCAAATGCTAAGAGTAAAACCATTAAAGTGGAATTTACAGAATAAACTGGAGAAATTCAAGGCTCAAGTTATATAGCAGAAGAATTTGGAGTTAAGAGGAAAACCCAGAAACAAAATTCTAAAGAGAGAACAACAAAGTAAATATTCCAATACTTTTTCTTCAAGGCAAAGCTGGTGATGCCCATGTTTGGCCTTATGTAGCTCTCATGCTTATATTCTCAATATTTTGAATCTAATAACCAGTTGGCTTCCAGGCTCTTCTCTGTTTCTTCTTCTATCAGCCTTAAAACCCTCCAAGTCTCTATCAGTATATTGCTTACAAGCTTTCATGTCTCAACCTCTTCTATTCTCTTCTCTTCTCTTCTCATTCTCTACCTAATTCAACAACACCTCTCTTCTTCACTTTTAGCTAAAACTGACAGCATTTTATATTATTCTTCAACAGCTATAAAAACCACTGCACGTTAAAGCCTCACATCTCATCAAACAATTCAAACAAACTTTCTAGGCCAATTACAAAAATGGCTAAAGCCTACAACTTTTTCTCATGCTCTCTCTTCATCTTCTTCTGGTTTATTTCCTCCATTTCCCTTCACGCTGAAGCTGCTGTCAAGACTTACAAGTTTGATGTGAGCAATCAATTTTATTGGTCTTACTGCATTTTAGTTCTCCAAAACAAGTTTGATTTAATCTGCTTTTTTTGTCAGGTTCAAGTGAAGAATGTTAGCAGGTTGTGCCATGCCAAGCCTATCGTCACAGTAAACGGAATGTTCCCAGGACCAACTATATATGTTAGAGAAGGCGATAGAGTTCTTGTCAATGTCACCAACAATGCACAATATAACATGTCAATTCATTGGTGAGCCATGTCATGTAGATAGGATTACTAATGAATTTTCAACATCTAAAAATTTTTGCAGTTTGTTCATGAAGTAGTACATATTAAAAACTTCTGCAGGCATGGATTGAAGCAATTTCGCAATGGGTGGGCAGATGGACCGGCTTATATAACCCAATGTCCTATCAAGACAGGCCATAGTTACACCTATGATTTCAATGTAACTGGACAAAGGGGAACTCTTTGGTGGCATGCTCATATCTTTTGGCTCAGAGCCACTGTGCATGGAGCCATTGTAATCCTGCCTAAACAGGGAACTCTTTTTCCTTTCCCCCAGCCAGACATGGAGACTAATATTCTTTTAGGTAGTGAGCTGGGTTTATGAGTTATGGTTTTCTGCGGAAATTAGTAATTTAGTGTTGTAATTGATTCATGGTGATTGATGTAGGGGAATGGTGGAATAACGATGTTGAAGAGGTTGAGAAACAAGGAAACAAGATGGGATTGCCACCAAATACCTCAGATGCACATACAATTAATGGAAAGCCAGGGCCACTTTTCCCATGTTCTGAAAAACGTAAAAGCCAAATTCTCCTATTTCCTCTAATCATTAGACATACCTCTTACTGGTTTTACTCGTTTCAGATACATTTGCAATGGAGGTTGAACAAGGGAAGACATACCTTCTGAGAATCATCAATGCTGCACTCAACGACGAGCTGTTCTTTGGTGTTGATGGCCATAACATGACAGTAGTTGAGATTGATGCAGTCTACACCAAACCCTTTACAACTCCAGCAATCTTGATTGCACCAGGTCAGACAACAAACGTTCTTGTCCAAGCAAATCGAGCACCGGGCAGATATTTCATGGCTGCTAGGCCGTTCATGGATGCACCAGTCATCGTAGACAACAAGACTGCGACAGCAATCTTGCAATACAAAGGTGTCCCTGATACTATCATCCCATCTCTTCCCAAGCTGCCAGCACCTAATGACACTTCCTTTGCCTTAAACTACAGTACCAAGCTTCGAAGCCTCAACTCTCCTCAGTATCCAGCAAATGTACCCCTTAAAATTGACAGGCACCTTTTTTACACAATTGGGTTGGGGATCAATCCGTGCCCAACCTGCATCAATGGAACAAAACTAATTGCGTCGCTGAACAACATTACCTTCGTGATGCCTCAGATTGGGCTACTTCAGGCTCACTATTTCAACATCCCAGGAGTTTTCATAACAGATTTCCCAGATAAGCCTCCAACACCTTTCAATTACACTGGGGCACCACTTACTGCAAACCTTGGCACCAGCCAAGGCACCAGGCTTAGCAGGATTCCCTTTAACTCCACAGTTGAGTTAGTCCTGCAGGACACTAATCTTCTCACTGTCGAGTCACATCCCTTCCACCTTCATGGCTACAATTTCTTCATTGTTGGAACTGGAGTTGGCAACTTTGATCCTGCAAAAGATCCGGCTAAATATAATTTAGTTGATCCTCCTGAAAGGAACACAGTTGGAGTGCCTACCGGGGGATGGGCTGCCATTCGATTCAGAGCTGATAATCCAGGTAAGTCTGACATCAAGCTTTGTCAAATAAAAGTAATCTCCGTTATGGTCTTTCGCAAGAGATTTTCTTTTTCTCGAATCAATTCAAAAACTTGGTTGTGATATTTGAACTGACTGAAGTGATTGTATTGATTTCGTGTAACTAGGGGTGTGGTTCATGCACTGTCATCTGGAGCTGCATACAGGCTGGGGTCTGAAAATGGCATTTGTAGTGGAAAATGGGAAGGGACCAAATCAATCTGTCTTGCCTCCTCCTAAAGACCTTCCCCCTTGTTAGTTATTGCTTGAGACGCAAGAAACCGTGTGTGAATTAGGGCCGCCACCCTAATTAACTCTTACTGAAACTGACTGACTGTTTGTAATTACTTCCTGCAACAAGCAGGATTGTGAACTGGGCGGTTGAAATTTTACAAAGGCGAAAAGTAATTCAACTTTGTATACCTTTGAATTGAATCCTTTTTAATTGAAATTATAATCTTTTATATATGTGAAATATTGCATGGTATCCCAATTTGCTTCCCAATATTAATTGTAAAACATGTATGAAATTCATCTTCATACTTATATATATATATATATATATATGAAGAATGCGATAATCAAACTCAACTTCCTATATATATATATATATGAAGAATCTCCTGTACCGATTGGTTGAGTTGTAATATAATAACTTCTACTCAAAATTTTGGAAGATCTAGATCTCTCATGTTAATACAAAAAGCAACAAATGTACAAACCATCCTGTCAACTTAGCTCGCGATTCACCTACAGATATTATTCTTCCGATAACTTGTTGGTAATTCGACCTATAATTAATTACTTACAAATTTTTTATTATTTTTTTAATATTTAAAAGAGAGTGTTCAATTTACTATTCTAAATTTGTAATTAATTAAACTATTTTATCTACGCTTAAAAGTGCATAAATAAATAATCTTATTTAGTTAATCAAAATTATTAATTAAGCCCGCAACGAGGTAAATATACGAGTATTTTGATAATTTAACATATTTACGAGGGCAACAAAAGAAAAAATATTTCATGAAATTTAGTCATTTTATATGGATACTAATAACATCTCAAATTAATTTATGTTCTAAATTAGTCAGTTTAAATAAAATAAAAATAAACAGATCTTATAAAAAAATAAATAACCATTAACCTACTAATTTATAATTATTGAAATTAAAAGATTACTACTCCATCGTGACCTACTCTATATTTAAAATTACTTCATGATTAAGAAATCATTATTTCATAATTGTTAAATTAAACAACTACTATATAATAAAATTTTAACAACTTCGGGCCACAAGGATTATCTTCAACTTCTCGAGAGGACCCAATTGAAAAAAAAAAATTAAAAATGAGCTCAAATAAAATTTTTTGCAATATTGGAGATGTTAAAGAAGCAAATTATAATTTTTTTTAAAAAAAAAATGGAAACAAAATCCTATTTGAATACATACACTTGCATTTCTACCAACTTTTCATCTTTATGAAAAGACTAATCTAATTAAATATTAACATGTAAGTTTCCACATGATGTTCTTTATTATAATTAAAAATTATTATATTCCATACGCACAATAATTAATTAATATTACATAAGAGAATGAGCAATAAGAAGATTTTAACTTACTTAAAAAAAAGGGTATTTCATTAATTTAATAAATTTATATTCTACAAATTTTTAATAAGATATGAAATTTGATTCTAGATATAATAAAAATAATAATTTACAAGTTTCGAGTACCTAAAAATTTAATAATAAATTAAACGTTTAATAAATGGACTGATTGGTATGACTTCATTGAGTTTACCGGACGAAGATCCATTAACAATTTTCCAATTGCAATAAAGAAACAAAAGAGGCGGTGGCTTCAATCAAAATGGTCGGTTTGGGAGTAAATAATACTCATCTATGTAAATATTTTTTAGAAAATATAAATATAATTTTTTTTATATATATCTATAAATATACAGCGTCGTGAAATTAAAAGTGTTAATTTCAGTGATTAAGTAGATGACCCACTAATTTAATATTTTATTTTTTTTACATCCACTTGTATCGGTTGAAACTAAATGAAAAAATAATATTATTATTATAAAAGAAGATATTAGTAGAGTGCGTGATCTTAAAATATATTATAGAATTATTACATTTTATAAAAATTAAAATATAATAATAAAAATAATTATCAATACATTCGATTATTATAAATTTACTTTGACATATTCTTTTGTGTATAAAAAAGAGTACAAATATCTCATTTTACATAAGTATTCTATTAATTAAAATTTTAAAATTCTCGTACATAACAGAGAAAAAAAGAGAATAAGAGAATTAAAAATTTTATCGAGTAGTCTGTTATAATATTATTAAATGTTGATTGTAATTTTTTTTAAATAAAAATCACTATATAAATATGTTTTTAGAATATCATTTTGTTTATTATTATTTTTTTTTACAAAAATATAATTTATTAATTAATATTATAAAAATTGACTATATACAATCATCTGAAAATTGTTTTAACATTAAAATAAATTAATTAAATGTTATTTCTTAAAATGGTTTTTTTTTTAAATTTAAAAGCCGAATTTTTGTTCCTTTTTTCGTCATCAGACAATAAAACGTCCCGATCACTTTCTTTTTCCTTTCTTGAAGAATTGAAATCCACAAATTTATACCATCTATTATGGTTTCGACACAGACTTTTGCATGTGACATGCTTTCCTTATATATATATATATATATGTATGTATGTATATATGTAAATAATGATGATTGTATTTTACACCATACGATATGTTAATTTGGGTATAACATATAAATACAATTAGTTGATCTTTTAATTTTTATGAATCAAAAGTCAGATCCGAACTAGAAATATCTACGGCTGCGATCGATTTTCCATTTTTTTTTTGAAACGTACGAGTACATACACCTTATACTTTCAACGGGTGGTGTTGGGAAGACTTGCTTAGTTAGTTAATCAATTAATTAATTAAATTTATTTATTTTAATTAAAAAATGTTTCACGTGAAAATAATATCTCGAAAGTCGTATTAATCGCTTTCATCATGCATGGTTTCTTGTAATAACATATTAAAGGAACCGACCAATCACCCCACTCGAAAATATCCGACCCCAAGAGTGGCTGACATGATGCCACGTAACTTGTGGGACCACCTTTTATTTATTGATTGATTTATTTATTTTTTAAAGAGCCAAATCATGAATTAATTCTGTGTTGCCCTTACGCATTCCCCGGGCATGAGGTCATCAAGACTGAAACAATACCTAAAATATCTGGGCCCCGCGTACAATGGAACGTGTACGGTTGAGATCTCTCCGCCTTTTCTCTGACCAAACCGCTTTCGAGGAACCCGAGGACTAGATCAACGGTCAAAACCCTCCCAACGGATATTTCATTTTAACGGGATCTAACGGTCGGAATGGAATCGGCGGCTGCCGCCCTGTAGTGTCTCCCGGTTTCGAGCTTAAGGGGTAGCCGGTCGCTACAGTTGTCGGTAACTTAGGGGTAACTACGACATTTTAATTAAATTAATTATATTAAATATTAAAAAAATAAAAAATAAAGTAGCCGTTGGGTGGGGGGAGAGACTGGGGGGTTCTATAAAAACAGGTAGAAAACTGCCCGAGACTCAGGAATTCTGGGGCTCTCGGAAAATAAATCCAAGCCCTCATAAGCTTTAAAAGGGTCTTCTGAATCCCTCCAGGACTGTATGATCTGACTTATAACTTCCTTCCTGATTTGTTTCTTGTGTTTTCTCTTTTTTGATCAGCTGTTTATTCTACCCGTAAATTTTTTGTTGATTATAATTTTCTTTTCTTCAGCTTAGTGCTTCCTTTGAGACTCTGAGAAAATCGATAAGGATTTTCCGGGTGATAAATACACAAATCTGAGGCTGTTGATCGTATTATTTGAAGATCACAGCTCCCTATTCTTGTTTAATTGCTTGTTTTCGAAGTGACAAGATTTTCATCCTCTTTTTTTCCCTGGGATTTTTCTTGTTTGAATCTGGTTCTAGTTTCCTCGTTAATGGAGTCGATTTCTGTGCAATCTGGTTCTAGTTTCCTCGTTATTTGAAGATCACAGCTCCCTATTCTTGTTTAATTGCTTGTTTTCGAAGTGACAAGATTTTCATCCTCTTTTTTTCCCTGGGATTTTTCTTGTTTGAATCTGGTTCTAGTTTCCTCGTTAATGGAGTCGATTTCTGTGCAATCTGGTTCTAGTTTCCTCGTTATTTGAAGATCACAGCTCCCTATTCTTGTTTAATTGCTTGTTTTCGAAGTGACAAGATTTTCATCCTCTTTTTTTCCCTGGGATTTTTCTTGTTTGAATCTGGTTCTAGTTTCCTCGTTAATGGAGTCGATTTCTGTGCAATCTGGTGTAGCAGAACAATCTATGTCTCCTTACAAGCAGATGAAAAACCCGAAGAGAAACGCTCGCGCTTTCACTGCAAAACCCAGTGAAAACTTGGCTCCGACAAACGTCATCCATGGAGGATCATCAGGAGGCGTCTTCTTTCCTCCTCCATTTTCGCTCTCCTTTTCTTACCCTCCATCACCTTTCAAACCCCTTTATAATCAAATTCAACAACCGCCTCTTCTTCCTCTACCAGTCGTCCATGGACACACTCAACAATCTCCCAAAGATCTAAGACGAGGCATCTCTTGCCCTCCCACCATCAGAAAAACCAGTACGCCCAAGAAATCAAAAGAACCCAGCAAGAAAATAAAAGAAACGTGGAAGCAAAAGGAGTCAACTGCAACCCACGCAGTACCGGAGTCGTTCCCATTAGGACCCGACCCGAATGATCTTCCGAAACTCCTTACACCATTAGCAGCAGCAGCAGCAGGAGGCAGTGAAAGGAAAGAGGTGGATGAGTTTTCGGGTTCGTTATTTACAGTGTCGCCACCACCCAGCAGCTTGCCGTTGCCACGATTTTCCATGAGATCGAAGCTGAGTTGCAATGCAGAAGCGGCAGGAATCGACGCCGGGGCAACTGATAATCTGCGGCGACTGTTGCGTCTCAGATGAGAGAGGAACGATTTGATGAAAAATTCATATTATTAA